ATACCGTAGTGCAACACACACTATCACTCGCACCTGTCCTGCCAAAATGTTGAGACCTCGTCATTTAGGTGCGTCACGGATGGTAAGGTGATGAATCTACTTACGATCTTCTAGTGATATAGTCCTTGTGGTAACTCAATCCTCCGAGATAGGTACAGTTAGCAAGCTATGATATACAGTTCCAGAAGCTAGAGGTTTGAACAAATCATATACCATGTGGCTCAAACAGGATTATTATGACGAGAATAACACAAACAGCTATTGTTTGATGCCAATTTCAGCCAACCAATTTCCCTGGTATATTTTGTTTAACCCTCTGGATTTCCTTTAATAATATATTCGCTATTTCTGTTATCTTTTTACTACATTTTCGTGCTTCTATTAGGATTGCGATTCTGATTTCTAATCTTCGGATTTTGCGCTTACTATAGTTATTTTGAGAAACAAAATAAACATTACCATTCTCAATGTGGAAGATCTTTTGATACACATGGCACAAAATGAATATCAGGTACAGTCTAATGAAATAGGTGATTTCTGTGCTAATTCATCTATCGCTGTTCACGCTATTAATTCAAATTTAAATTTCGAAATGTGTTAGCTGTTAAAAGGTCAGAAAAGGTATGTTCCATGCGACGCCAGGATCACTATTGTCCGGTGTTTCATCCAGCTAGTAACGAGTGTGATATGTATGAATGGGTGCAAATAGAATCTCCTGTAGTAGTGGAAATACGCTTCGATTCCAAATCACGACGAACCTGAAACACTAAATCGCACTAGCACGCGCACTTTCGAATATCCTGTCACAAAGACGTAGGAAAAGGCCACAGCACTAGCCGTTCGTTTATCGAAAGAAAACAATGAGATAGAATACCTTGTAAAAAAGGAAGTTTATTGATTACACAGGTATCCACCAATGATTTGCTTGTAATATTGACGTCACAAAGCATCGGCCTGAGCCGTACGACTTCCAATTGGTCAGTATGGTTCGTTCGTGGTGCATTATCCAGAGACCGTAACGTGTCGCTCTGGCGTTATTCCCTAGACTAGGATCAGTACATCTTCCTTCTACCATTGCCTCATGTTCTTATATGCATTGGGAATTACAGGCCTTGAAGGTGTGCAATAATTTAAAAAAGTCAAGTGATACCATTCCTGCGCAGCTATGCTCAAGTCCGATTACACTGCCTAACATCCTGCCGATCTAGCACGTGCAATATCAGACGGTTATCAGAAGGGAGCTGCTGCTAGTCCCAGTTTACGTGAGGAAATTAAGCGAGTGATTTGAGAATGGGATGGGACAAAGCGTCGATTCTGTTTTCTTTTAAAACCAATTTTTGCACCAAATAATAAATTGACCGAGCTTAGGAGAGTGAGGGAAACAGGAGAGGATGGAATTGTGTGCAAACTCCCGACGATTCAATCGCGCGTCGGGAAGCAGGCCTCGTTTTCGATAGATTACATTTACAACCCAATTGTGGTCGAACATACCTCTTTTTTCTCTCACGTCAGCGAACATACAAACATCGGGAACTTGTTTCATCATTTGGAACATGTATTTCTCACCAATCAACCCAAAATGCAGTCTGATTGTTGCCCATTGTGTATGTACTGTGTTTAAAACAGTATCAACAGATTTGTTTCAATGCTTGGATCGCTTGTGTGTAATCGAGTAAGTTTACCTAGCTTTTATAGCCATCAAATAATCACCGCCTCTAACGTCAGTATCGCACCTATAATCTCTTTCTTGCATCAAAAGATCACCTTGTTTACTTTTGAGTGGGAGGAGAAATTAATTAGGCCTGTAATTTTAAAGCCACACGCA